TTTTTTCCTGGAAGTCGACAAATTCCACAAACATTTGAACTCAATTAACCCGAACATACAGTTTACTTTAGAAATAGAAAACACCAACGGACAAGGCTTGCCTTTTTTAGACACCATAACAAGTAGACGCGGTAAAAAAATTCATGTGGATGTTTACAGAAAACCGACACATACCGACCGTTATCCCGATTTCTTTTCCTGTCATCCTATGTGCCATAAAAGATCCGTTGTTAACACCTTACTGAAAAGAGCAAACAATATTCCATCAACCAATAAAGGCAGACGGGAAGAAATACAACGAGTTAAGGCCGTTCTGCGAGAGAACAATTATCCCATGACTTTTATACGAAACTTTGAGAGTGTTAATTAAACAACCCGCCCAGAACAACTTCAATGGCTTTGTAGTGCTGTCGTATGTACAGGGTGTTTCCGAGAAAATAAGTCGCATATTGAAACAACAAAAGGTCAAGGTAGCCTACAAACCACAACAAACAAGCAACAGCCTTTTTCCATGCCCCAAGGAGCGAGACGAACCTGACCGCCAGAAGTCAGGCTTGGTGTACAAAATCAATTGCACACAGTGTAACTTTAAGTACTATAGCCAAAAAGAAAGGTCATTAAAGACCAGAATTTCGGAGCGCAAAAAGGCAGTTGCAGGCTTTGACTTAAACTCCAAAGGCGCAAGCCATATCCACCTTTTCGACCATAACATGGACTTTACAAACGTCAGGGTCGTTGGTTTGGAATCCAATTACCACGAGAGACTTTTCCCTGAAGCCTGGCACTCTACTTTTCCGAATGCTGGGAACGATCACATCGTACTTCCAGAAGCCTCTAAAGACCTCGCGCGAGCATCAAATACATAGTTACGCGCGCAAGCCTCGCGTCACGTTTTAACTTTATATAGCGTATGATAACGATCTTGGTTTTTTCATATCACTGATAAAGGCTTAAGCATTAGCGAAACGTCTTTTTTTCAGAAATAACAACAGAGGCAACCAATTTCCATAAAACTGATGGCCCACTATACGTGGCCAATGATGGCCAGCTATACTGGGTCAATGATGGTACACTATACTAGGCCAATGATGGCTCACTATTCTTGGCCCGTAATGGCCAACTACAATGGACCTATGATGGCCCATTATAGTGGTCCAACGATGGCCTCTTATATTTGGCCAATGATGGTTCACTATACTGGGCCAATGATGGTTTACTATACCTGGCCCATGGTGGCCTACTATACTGGGCCAGTGATGGCTCACTATACTTGGCCAATGATGGCCTACTATAATCATCATCATCATAATCATCATCAGGGCTAAATGAACTCCTGGCGGAGGAACCCCTCCCTGGAATGATCCCAGAGGTATGTGACTTTAGCCAATCTCGACCATGCAGGTCCCAGCTGTCTGGTGAGATTATCCCTCCATCGTGTTTTTGGACGACCCTGTTTTCTGGTCCAATCTCTTGGGGTCCACTCCGTTGCTCCAATGGTCCATCTATTATCTGACAGCCGTGCTATGTGACCTGCCCATCTGTGCTTTGCCATCCTGATAGCGTTGATGATGTCGCTTACACCAGTTTCTTGTCGAATCCAGGTGTTTCGCTATCGGTCTCGAAGGGTAAT